TCGCCCTCGAGGACTCGAACTTCGCAACGTCGCATGCCTTTGCCCAACCAACGGACATTGTCGACAGGGACACGAGTATCTCTACTTCCGTGGTGGATGACAACATTGCGAGTGATGTCCACATAGCGGAATCCAATCGTTTGGCGGCGTTCTAGGCAGACTAAAAGATCAACTGCCGGGTTTGCATTCGTGGTGGCCAGTTCCCATATCTTGTGTGTCAGCCTATTATCATAGTCGCTCTGGCGCTCGCGTTCTTCGGATGAGACTATGGCTGTCTGACTCGTGGTGACTTCGACCTGCTTGACATCTGTTCTTTGAGAGACGACCGGCGCCTTCAAATCCTGGAGTGCTTTGATATCACCCCCCTGTTGATGTATCTTGGACTGAGCTCGCCCAGGCCCTTTCGGCTCCGTCGCCACTGCAGGGGACATATCTTTTGAAGTTGTCTTACGTCGGGTGCGGCGAGGAGCTTTCGGCAAACTGGATGTGAGACTAGCGCTCGCGGCACTCATGAAACTCGAGTTGGCGACCTTCAGGAATGACGCAGGCAAGGCTCGCAGAATCCTTTGGGAATACGGAACAGCATTGGTAGGTACCGGTTCCTTGTGTGGCCCCATGCTCGATAATTGAGACGGCGGAATCCAAGGAGCCAGAAGGTGGATACGGCCGCGGATGTGTTGTGGAATCCTCAACGCCGTTGCCAGTGCATAAATCGCTCCGGCAGAATGAGCCAGTATCGAGAATTTGTTGACTTTGAGGTGATTACACACGATTGCAACATCATCTATCCTCGGTCAGTATAAAAAGAAAAAGTTGGAAGAGCCGAAGACAGGTCAGATCCTCTTACCAGGCCAGCTGAGAGGATTTGCTGCCTCCTCTGTGTAAGGCGCGCTTTCGCCTACCCCGGGGCGATCCAAGGTCACTAGTCGGAGATTGAGAGACCGCGCCAACTCGTCGTAAAAAGCCATCAGATACCTGGTCAAGCCCATACCGAGGCAGCACAATACAACGTGGCCCTTTGGATCTCCAACTTCAGAAAATGCTATGGCGCGGCCTGTTGTTGGGTGGGGAACTTTTTGAGTAAGTTTGGGCGATGAGATATACTCTAAGACCGCGAGGTCTATTGAGTCAGCACTCGATGGTCGTTCGTCGCTGAGCGAAGCATGGACTGGAGAAGCAGGCCCAGATGGGGCACGTTTGTGGTGGCGCTTCGGGGCCGAAGACTCCAGTGATCGTCTGGAGCGGAGTTTATCATTCTGATCTGGCTTATCGAAGGATTGCCTATGTAGTGGCAGGTTGGGGGTTTTGGATGTAAGGGGAGAGTCACTTCGCGTCGTTGTTCTGCTCTTCCCGGTCATTACGGCCGGTGCCGGAGCACTCTCATCAAACACGACAGCTCCTTTTGCATCTGTATTTTCTTGCGCCGCTGGCTGATGGCTTGTGAGGCTTGATGTTCTAAGGGGCTGACTTGGCCGAGTTGAGGAATCCTTGGTACATTTGTCTGGGCTGTCGTCTGTTTCCAACTCGGTTTTGATCCTTTGCTGCTGATCCTTCAATTCTTGGATTCTCCTCGTAACCTGTTCAGCTTCGTTGCCCGCTTCGCCGGGGCTGGGCTCAACTTTCGTATCCCTGCTAGCGGTGGATGAATACCTGGTATGACGAGTGGATCTGCGTTTCCTCGGGCTCGAAGAGAAACTGTGACGTAGCGAAGACTCGCGCGCAGGAATGACCCTTCCACTCCCAATACCTCCAGGTGTGCTGCTTACACTCCCTCGGGCGCTGTGCGATGACTGGCGTTCTCTGCTAGGCGGGGCACTGGCTGCAGTTTCACTATGGATGCCCTTGGAGAAATGATCTAGTCGCGCCTCCTCGGCAACGTCAGCCATAGAATGCATAGAGCGCAAGCTGGTCCTATTGCGGGGAACGTTATGCCTTAGGCTGTCGTTGTAACTACTCGTTTTCCGTAGACGATCGGTCTGTTTTTCCATATCGGTCATAAATTCGCGCGAGGATTTCTTCAGTAGTCCAAGCTGGCTTTTTAGACTCCTTCGGCCTCCAGAAGCTGTAGATGCGATACTAGGTGCTGTGGAGACTCGAGGGCCGGGCTCGGCTGTGATCGTACCGAATGCGCTGTCCTCGCACGCAGCTTTGGCCGATGTGTATGAGCTCCTGGAAGCGGGTCGCGGGGATGATAGAGAAGGGCCGAAAGTACTTTTCGTCTTTGGAGACGGAGGTGCCCTGGCCATGCGAATGACCGGAGCTGCTGCTGCATCGTCCGGATGTAAAAACGGGCTATGCGTCTCGTTCTCTGAATGCTGTTGCGCTCCGTAGCTTACTCCGAAGCCATGATCGCCTGATGTGTGCTGCGTAGGAGGTTGTGGCTCCGATGGGAAGAATACTGAAAATATGGGGGAAGATGGATCCGTATCTAGGTCGAGGCGCGGAACGTTGTCGAAATGAGATTGCAGGGGAACAGATATAGTAGATAGGGACGAGATTAAAGACGTAATAACTTCCGGGGATGTTTGGTCAACTGACGCCCGACTTATGGAATGCGAGCGAGATTTGCGACGTCGTGCGAGCAGGGAGGAAGACGCTGGTTGTAAAGGGGCATGCGCCGTGGGCGCAGGAAAGTCTTCCATAGCGCCCATCTTCTCCTCTGTTTCTCTTGACTCTGGACTTTTCCTCCCTTTTTTTGGGATTTCGGTATCGAGAAAGGAATTGTTTTCGGACCTGGGTTTCTAGGAAACCCCGGGATTCCAGGAACCCCTCCAGCCAGATTCGGAAGAAGAGTCGAAAGTCACCGGCAATTGATGCGGCAGGGCGGGGTGAGATCTCGCATTATCCTGCAAGAGAAAATGATAAGACTGGTTCAACGGTGGAATTCTAAATCCAGAACGAAGAATTGATGCATGTGCGAGTTGGACCGATTGGTGAGGATCCAGGGCGATCGTATCAAGCCCCCTGCGGCTTGAGAGCCCCTTGCAGAAGTCCGGTATCTGGGGAATAGGAAAAAGAAGAGGGGATGGGAAGGAGTTTCGAATGGGTCGTCGCTGGAAGTTGAAATTATGATTATGATTATGATTATGGATTCAGCAGAAATTGGGGGTCGCTAGGAAAGATATTTAAGGAGAGTATCTAGTTGATAAACGGTGCCAGAAGGTTTAAAGAAGGGAGGGGCAGCGATGAGAGTTAACTCTCATTATTTAGTAGATAGACCAGATAGTGGTCCAGGAAAGGGAGAAGGAAGGGGAAAGGAATAATAAGACCATGATACTAGTAAGTATATTGATTAGCTTAGGAGTAGTGAAAACCGGAGTATCTGCCTCACTTGGGTAGTCTACCTATTGATTCCAGACTGATAAAGAGGACAATGGCAAACCAGCATGAAAGGAAATGATTATTGAGAGAGGTAGTTCTGACTGGGATAATATTTACGGATTAGTAGATAAACAAACCACAATCCCTTGTTCTGGCCATCTTGATTCTTTACCTGTTCTTGAAGATTCGAATCAGGAAATATCATAATCTTCTTCGACGTCTTCATTAATATTCATTATTATTGTTTTTAGGAGACTGACTAGCCCAATTATTGCTTAGTTCCCTTTGATAGACACGAGAGAATTTCACGATTCTTGGCCGAATGGCAACAGTTCTGAGTCTGCTCCTCCACAGGGTTCGCAGATCCAAATTTCAATAAGTACCAATCGGGCCACCAAAACACCTCGCTTACAAACATCAATTGAGCTTGGATAGGCTTCGATTCACAGGCTCTGACTGGATTTTTGATGCACGTTTGTTCATCATATCAAGATCCTCGAAGCCTCGCTCGTCACTATTAAGAGCTCAAAGGGATTCCTCAGAATAAAGATAAATACTCCGTTGTCTATTCTACAGTCCTAGGCAAGAGGCTGAGTGAGGAAAGAGAAGACCCATTTCTAGTAATCTTTGTCGCCTTCCTGTTAGTTACCATGGTTGCGGAACAGATGGATAGCGCAGGGATATAAGATCGCCTCTCGAAGAAGCAACTGGCAAGATATCAAGATAAATGCTTGTTTCCTACCCTTTCTGATGGTGCAGGGACGTGCGTATACTAGTCGACCTAAACATGCTAACAGACTCGACATTTTTGGATGACTAGTGATGCAAGGGAAATAAACCAATTGACAGAAGAGCATGGGATGCTTGTCGGCTCATGCCTTTTTACTTATGTGAGGGTGAACCTCCGTTCTAAAGCAGTCTTGCTGTTTGTAGTCGCAATGCACGGTATCCTTGTAATCCTGGCATAACTGGCATAACATCAGCAAGGTACTTCTCAAGTATTGAAATAGGAACCACTAATATGCATCAGTACCACAAGGAGATCGGAGGATATGTTGACGTATGGTAGACAAGCGATTTGACGCTTTCCTCTTCGCCGTAGTGTTTCAACAATTGTTTTTGTGGCAATGCCCTTATAAGTTGCAACTCGCAAGGCTGGCCAACTTGGTCTTGCAAGGAAATATATAAAATTCGCGCGCAAATGAGGCTCATGAGCTACTATTTACCACAGACTTCGGATCGCTTCACGCATACCGGCAGAGCTAGTTCCACTGCAGAAAACCATCGCCTGACTGATAGAGACTTCGTGAAACATTTACAGATATCTGGTAGTCTACAATGCAGGTGTCAATGTTGTCGTACGGGACTGTAGCACCTCCGCCGATAGTCTGATAGCCCAGAAGTACCTAGGCTTGGCGTTGTTGATGATGTTGAACCAAAACACATGCTTGTGGCTTGGCAGAGGAAGCGAATGCTTAGGTCTACATCCACCACCAAACGAACGCCTATGTCATCATAGGAGTCAAGCGAAAGGTGTTCTTTCAATCGTCAGAGAAAACAAGCAACACTACCTTAACTACGCGAAACAAACCTAGCGGTCATCCGTCGTGGTGGCCTCAGCGGACGTTTGAATTCAGATATGCGGTGATCTACATCCCACGACAAGACCATTGTCCGCCATGGACGCCTACCCCGAAGACTATGTGGTCCACAACCTTCCTTTCATCCTCCTCTCCGGGCTAGAAGCCGACCCTCCAGATAAAGCTGGATCGAGCGGTCCCGAGTACCCTCTCCTCGACGAGAAGGGACCGAAAATATACTCGGACTTTCCACCTCTAAGCGGACCGACCGCGGAGGAATTGCGGAGGAACCTTCTGAAGGAGGATGCGTCAGAAGTGCCATGGGACAACAGGGAACCTACAAGTACGAGGTATTCAGGGATTGGGTACAAAATCAAGAGTACAGGGAGGGTAGGTTCTCATACACCGGATGAATCAGCCCCTCCAAGATGTCCCTCCTGCGATCGGCCACGATGAAGCACTTGCATTGAGCACAGCCTACTGTAATTGCTCTGTACATCCTAGATGCCGCGAGAATATCGAGTGTTCCAGTTGATGGCGAAGTGTGCTATTGCTAACACAGACGCAGTCATACAGACTTCCCCCGCGGAAAGCTGATCCCCCGCCGGTGTCTCCTCCGACAAGTCCAACAGGCGAACAACAAAATGATATACATACAGCGCCGTCGTTCGTCCTGCACTCACCTATTTCCCCATTGACACCAAGTTCTCCTACATTTCCTGATGGTCTACTCACTCCTTTGTGGGTGACGAAGCACCAAAACCTCGTCCCCGCGGCGGTCATCAACTTCTTCCCCTTCTGCCTGGATCCCAACATGAGTTCCCTCCGCGACAATCAACTCAAGATCGAGATTAATGGACTGAAGAAAGAATGGTCTGACTCTGGTTACAAAACTCGCTTCGTTGTCGTCCTCCTGTCTGAGGAAAGCACTCTTGGCTATAACAAGGAGGAGACGGAGGAGCGAATCACGAGCATACGAAGAGCGACGAGTCTGGACCAGAAATCCGTTCTTCTTCTCCCACCTGATACAACCTCTGCGGAATTGATTGAGTTCACAAGGTCTTTATTGAACATGCTACAGCCGTTGGTGGTAGAATATTATCGGGACCTATCTAAACACGCAAGACGGAAACGTAACCGCGGCGCAGTCCCTCCTCCCACGGCACCACCCACAAGCGGAACATCACAGACACTGTCGCTCCAGGGATGGAATGTTCGCTATGAGTTTAAACTTGGTATCTTCGCCGAGTTTCGCCAAGAGATCGATGCCGCACTAAGGAATTACGAGAGTGCTTATGAGACTCTGTTTGGGCAGGATGTCTTTGAGAATATTGCCGGTTGGAATCCAAGGTTTAATGATGCTCGTCTCTTGTCTGATGCTCTGGCAATTCGCATAATTCGTTGCTTATTGTGGACCGGACAAACCCGCACCGCGGTACGTTCATGGGTCAACCATCGTACTCGCTGCCGTGATATTATCAATCGGCGAGGTAAAGGAACCAGGAACTACGGGTGGGAAGCTTGGGAGGCTCGATGGTCGATGGTAATGGCCCAGCTCATACGCCAGGCCAACATCCCTGGCATTTCTGATAACACGTCGTCCCATCAGGGAGACGACGATCAGTATTTGATCTTCGTCCCCCCTGAAAAGGCAACACATGTTGGCGATGCCTTGTGCCCCTGGGAGCTCCTTCACCATGAGGGTTATTGGTTGTACCGATCCGCGAAACACGCGATGACTCGACGCACTCTAGCCGAGCAGATTCCAGATGAAGATCGCATACCACCAGGGCAATTACCTGCTTCTCAGATCGCGAACAAGACATATATGTACGACACCTATCTTGCCCCAGAGCCATATATCGAAGCACCGCAGCCAGGCTCAACCGGCTTTGATCATTCACAACAAATTCTGAACGCCCTGAGGGCAGCATTGGAGCAATTTGCAAAACGTAAGCAATTTCGGAAGACGGAGAGCCTCAGCTTAGAAATAGCGGAAGAATACATGCGTGTTGGCTCATGGACTGAAGCTTATGAGACCCTCCGTCCACTATGGCCGACGCTCACTTGGCGACAGGCTGGCTGGTGGCCGCTCATGGAGAAGTTCGGTTGGGCTTTGAGGGAATGCGCTCTACATATGCAGGATAGCGAGATGATTTTAAGAGTCGACTGGGAACTGATGAACCAGGGTGCGTTCTAGCTTTCAATTGTCGGATAAAGCTCGCTGTTTTGCTCCTGTTATACTGACTCACGAGTAACCTGCACAGTGTTTCAACCACGATCAGGTTGGCACTACAGTATCCACCAGAGCCTTAGAGACCTTCCCATCACAGAACTCAAGCCATCTGTCGCACTGAAAGCCGAGGATGTCATATCGAACCGTAAGTGTTCTCTTGCCTATTGTTGTCTCGTTCCTGCTTCTCCATACCTGACCATTCCACTGGCCACAGTCACAGCCACATTTGTCTTCGAGAAGCCGGAAGGAAATGTTGGCGAGCCTCTCATGGGGCAGCTGACAATTGCTTCTCTCGGTCAGAGATCTTCGGACCCAATACGACTGTCAGAGGTCAAGGTGGTTTTCGAGGGCTGCCTCCGTCCACTGAAGCTTCAATCCGACCAGAACGTGACCGCCGACATCACGACTCCTTGCACGATATCGTCTCTAACGCTACGTGAGCCCACATCTGCGGACTCGACGACCCTGTTATCACCGAGCAATGGCTTAACAGCACTGGTAGGGATGGGTGATCTGACCATGGGACCGGCTCAGATCAAAGTGTTCAATCTAACCTGTGTCCCCCGCGAAGCAGGAGATTCAAGGGTGGCATCAATAACTTTACTTATTGAAGATGAGAGGTTTGACTTAGCCTGCGCTATCACAGATCTGGCCCAGCGTGACTCCTTTTGGTGGCAGCAGACCACCAACGGCGTAGCCCGAAAACGTGTGGGCAAAGACCGGGATACCTGTCGGTCCAAGATCATGCCCAAACCGCCAAAAATTCGAATTTCAACACCGAACATCAGAGCGACATACTACACAAATGAGCGAGCTGTTCTCAAATTGGACATCTACAACGAAGAAGACGAGGCTGCAGACGTGTCCGCAGAGGTAAGACTCTTCGGACACCCGGACTCAGCGGCGCAGATTGTGTGGCTTGATGAGGAGGGTGAGGCCATATCTCCTCGTTCACAGGATAGTTCGCCTATCGAGGGGGCACGTCATGTCGCGAAACGGTCCATTGGTGTCATGGACAGGTCATCCAGGCAGCAGTTGATGCTTGTGCTGACAGACACCCTTGAACCGTCGACGCACGAGCTTCAAATTACCTGTGTATACAATCTGCTATCTGATTATCAGACCCCGATCATCGCGACACACAGACTCGCCTTATCAATCATACGACCATTTGAGGCAAACTATGATTTTCTTCCGCGCCTTCATTCCGAACCTTGGCCTGATTTCTTTACAATTGATGATGACTTGGCTGAGGACGAAACCGCGCCTAAACCTCGAGGCTTGCGGCAACGATGGTGCTTGAATTCCAAGATTGTCTCGTTTGCCCTCGAGCCGCTTGTCATCGAAAAGATTACGCTAGTGCTACTGAGCCTTGGAGGCGGAGCTGTCTGCAATATTGGATCTGAAATAGTCGCCGACCCACATGCGCTGGAAATACGTCCGGAGGAGCTTCGCGAGTCCAGCTTTTTACTAGAGGTTCAAAAGTTGGTCTTGGGAGACCGACGGCCGACAGCTCTGAATCTGGCCCTAGAGATTCAATGGCGTCGAATAGGCACCGACGCCGCTGCATCATCTGCGGATAGCGCTACCGTCACCACGACTACTCTACCCATTCCGCGCTTCGTGATGCCCGTGGGAGAGCCCCGCGTACTTGCCTCGGCATTGGCTTCAGAAGCTATCCCCGGTCTGATTCACCTGGACTACACGTTGGAGAATCCTTCGATGCACTTTCTCACTTTCAACCTCGCTATGGAGGCGAGTGAGCATTTTGCTTTCAGCGGACCGAAGACCGCGGTCGTTCAGCTTGTGCCGTTAAGCAGACACACAGTGCGATATAACCTCCTGGCTTCCAAGCGGGGGCTATGGATCCAACCTCAATTGAATGTCGTGGATACGTATTTCAACAAAGCCCTGCGGGTACAGCCAACTGAAGACATGCGGTCGGATAAGAAGGGAATTTTGATCTGGGTTGACGCTGACGACTAGATAATGATATCACAGCTTTTGCCAATTCAACAAAGAATGAGTAGAGCCAGACGATCTATCCCTAAGTTACCTAGCTTAGATAGCAAGTTACTACACAGTCTCGACTATGTAGACAACAGACTTCATCCAGACCCAGGGCTAATCACGTGCCAGCCCTTATCACGCGCTGGGAAGGGTGGCCTAAAACAGACTAGCGGCGCCGATCGTAGAAGTGCCCGGCGCCCGCAGCTCCCCAGACAGATTGGACAAAGACATAACAAGACAGAGACAAGAGACAAAAAACGGCAACTAGGGAGAGAGAACGACGCCGTGCAGTTCGGTCTGCTCGTCACTATTCCTTGCTATATTGCCACTTAGTGCTTCATTGTGACCAGACGTTTCGACTAGCTCATCTTTCCCTTCTTGCGCTGCTTGTTGCTCTGTTCGCCCATTACGCCGTCAATCGAACCCATTCCAATCATGGCAGCGCAAGCGGCCCTGATCGCCGATACAATTATTGGCATGAAAAGAGCCTTACGAAGAGAGACAGAGTGTATATACCCGCACTTCCTTGTTTTGCCCCACTCTTGCGATCAATGGTCACTTTCTAGGCTATTTCTGACTTGTTCGTGCTGAAGACTCAGGTCCCGATGAACCGATCACTCAGCCGACGAACAGAGGCAACAAATTACGGGCCAATGCGAAGTACGTGCGAGAGGGCGCTCTAGGATACATCCATCCAGAGCAATTGTACAAGCAGGTAACTTTGCCGACCTACCAAACTTTGTGTTTGAAACATCGACGATGGCGCGCGGGGCTACGGAAACAGAATGACTGACATGGGCTCTAGAAAATTGAACACGCCGGATACACTCGCTATATCCTTCAACGTAATCCGGTGCGCTATGATTCGGAGGGTGACGAGCTTGATGAGGATGATGAAGATTCGGAGGCGGATGCGGCTGCTGCTGAAGAGAATCCATTCTCCGAAATCGCTTTGGAAAGTACGTGATTGCACTCGGTCCGGTTCAGCGATGTTCTAGACAGCTGACATCTCTCTGTCTTATCCTCCAGACCTCCTATGTCCTCTGAAGCATCCGTCGGAGCTGCCCACCCACCCGTCCTTATCGCACGCTTACACTTCGAAGGCGCTTAGAAATATGACCAAAGCTGTTGAAGCGAAACTTCGACAGGAGCGCGCTTTGTTGTGGCGAGCAAGGAATCTTCATCGACAGTTCCTTGGGGATGGGTCCTGGATGCCTTGCGGAATGTTTGAAACGGCGGAAGATCGGTTCTTATTCGAGCCTTGGATGTCTTATGCGATGCGCGGCTCACCATCGGGCGAACATGCGCTAAACGGACTGGTTGATTCGGTTGCCGCAGATAAATCGAACCAGGAGTCGCCAGCAGCCCAGGCAGGAGGAAAAGATGTCGAGATGATGGATGCTCAGAACAACGAGGCGGAGGTGCAGACAGACGAGAACACCATCAAAACCGATCAGTCGATGCAACCCAAGTCCGAGGAAGTCGACGCGGCTGTGAATGATCTTCCCCCGCACCGAGACACTGCAAATTCGGAATCACAGATCAATGGGCACACCGTGGCTGGTGGGAAGCAGGACCATGACTCTCTAGCGAATCCGGACCAGCATCCTATAGAAGAAAGAGGAAAGGCTCGAGCAAATGACGAGCAAGGAGCCGAAGCCGAAGCCGAACAACAAGACGATCCACAAGGAGATGAAACGGACACGGAGATGCAGGATGGCTCATCGCCAGAGCCGCCTCGACGCATGACTACACGAGCGCAAGCAAATGCTTCAAATCCAGAACCCGACCAAGATTCTAGCAAGCTCTCCCCGTCGGCTTCCACTGACACACTCAACACACTTCCGGCGCCACATCCGCTATTCCTCGTGCCTGAGTCTGTGCTACCTGATCCCAACTTTGGATTACCAGCCAATGAAGCTGAAGAAACGCGACGCCTGCTTTGGTCTTTCATTCAGAAGCAAGAAGAGACCGTTCGAGGATTCGAGCACATGCTTGAGTGCCTGCTCCGGGCGTGTCGGATGCAGGAAGACGTCTTCGAGTGGTGTAAAGCGGAAGGGCACGTCGGCGAGTTGAGTGATGGAGAGGACTGGTACGATCCTGAAAAATGGGGTCTCGCCGAAGGGGAAGAACTCAAAAAGGGAGTCGACGAAGATGAGATCGAAACGGTCGAGGAGAGCAGAGCAACAGGCAAACGAGGACGAGGTCGACGGGCATAGACAACTTGGATTATCTTCTTGGTCTTTTCATCTGGCTCGGGGCATGGTTAACAGGCCGTATTGAACGACTTCAATCGCACGCAATTCAACAGTCTTTGAATAGATACATAGCATGGAGTTGGCGGAGTCTTTGTGTGTGGGAGGTTAATTGTTTGAATGATCTCAGGGATGACTTCTTCTTGACATTATGACTTGGAGAACGACTAGGCCGGCAAGGAATCAAAGACTGGCATTCTAAATAGCAAAAAGCCAACATTAAACAATATCTCTGGTATATCATCCTCTGAAAGTGGCAAAAACTATGTACTAGAAGCATGGGCCAACCCTTCTCAGCGACCTTCTTTCGCCGCTGTATCACCATCCGACTAATGCCTCCACCATGTCAACTTTTGGTGCCTTACGCAGGTTGGAGTGACCGCGATGTCACTCTGGAAGTGATCGTTGAAGATAATTCGCACAATCTGTCCCCTTTCTCCCTCTATAATGAAAAGACGTAAATCGTGAGCTCGTAACCGCCAGCCAAATCGTCTTGTCGAAAACCAAGGCAAGGACAAAGGTGTCCATGACTCGTGAGGATTGTGAGGGATGTTGAAAGTCCAAGGCACTAATCCTGCAGAGTCTTCGGTTTCGAGTGTTACTGCACGAAGACGGTATGCTACTTTTACAAGCTCTTGCCGCCCTGCTGGGACTTTGCACGTTCCCGTTCACGCTTAGCATAGATCTCCGCAGTGAAAGGACTACAATGCCACGGTTAGTTTCCATTACATCTTCTCTTCCCGCGAGGACACTTGGAAATATAGGACCCAAGCAAGGCCAGAGGGCCTGGAAGAGAATCGGGTGACTTACTCCTCCCACTGGAGAGCGATCCAGTATACAATAAAGACCTCCGCAGTGAGTAAGAGACCGGCGACCTTGCCAAAGTAGAGAGCCACACCCAAGAAGTTCAGGGTGCTGCCCCAGTACATGGGGGAACCGGTAACGTTGAAGGGGAAACCGGTGACGGGAGCATCCATGAGGATGCCGAAGTAGTCTCCAAGGTAGGTTCCGGTGACGCCAAGGGCATACATGCTAGACAGAACGAGGATAGATCCGATGCCGAACAGGACAGAGCCTAAAATCGGTTGGTGCACTGGGGCGTAGTAAGGCTGATCCTGGAGGGCCAGTTGATACACATGGTCGCGAGCGAGGCCCAGGGTAAAGATGATGAATCCGAGAAAGTAGCATCCGTAGTAGGGGCTACCGAATATACGAGTCAAGTAGTGCTTTCGGTACTCTACAAGAAGAAAAAGGAATCGAGTTTGCGACAATAAGCAAGTATTCCTAGATTCGAGCCTAAGGGAACGGGAGGTTTAAACCAACCAGTACGGGCAACGATGCTACAAGCGACGCGTAAGTTAGCCCATGAGCGCTCAGACTGAAAAAGGAGCCGAGAGACAGGCAATTTCAGCACAGGACTTACTTCCAGAACAGTGGATTGAACAGGATGAAGAGAGCACATCCTACAATGCTGGTCAGTCGGGAAATCACATGCGTAGGACTGGTAACAATTAACAGAGAATTGTACCTTGGAAAGACTTCTGAGAGAAATCGATATAATCTACAAGATGGGCCATGATGGAGGAGCACTAGAAGACTCAAAATCGGTCACGAATGGGACAAAGTAATTCGAGCTCGCGAACTGGGTATGGTTATGTGGGAAGGGTTGTCGAGGAACATGAAGAAAAGAACAACAGTACATCAAAGTAAACCTCAGGCACAGGTGGGAGCACCCCGTAACAGGTAAGGTAAACACATGACATGACGTCTGTTTTAGAGCTTCCTGGGTCACATGATCTGATCAGTATCGACTCAGTCGACTTGATATAAACATTATTTTATTTTGACTTGTCCAGTGACGCAAATGTATAACGAATCTACCTTGGGTAAATTTGCTTCAGCTCAATAAGCAATTGACTGGCGAAAGGTGTGAGCGTCTATCCTTTCCAGCCAACTCTCAGATCCCATGAGTAAACACTCCCCACGTTTGGTGGACCTCGAAGCTCCTACTCCTCACCGCCGTCTATCTGTCTGTCTCCGTATCTATCACTTACCTCTTCTCAGCCCGCAGGTACCTTCCCATCGTTCTGATGTTTGTTTTGTTGTTGCTGTTATTACCTTAACAAGTACTAATAATAGCTTGATAGTCCTTTCGATTTCTGCACTACTTCCGATCATGCTACCCTTCCTCTCACTCATCCCTTCTGCCTTCCTTTACTGAGCGTCATGGGACGACCCTCGCTTTTTAGATCATACCACCTGGGAGAATGGCCCTAAATCGTCGCGACATTATTCTCTTTAGCACTGGTGGCTTTATTGCATGGGGTTTGGTTGTTCGCTGGCTTCCAATTTTGCGATACCTGGGATATGCCCTCGTATTGGGTGCTCTGCTCTCGTGTACCGCGTTGCTGACGGCGGTGTTTCTCACGATTCGGCCCTTAGATAGCGCAAAACCTCCTAGACCTAGCAGCCTTCCTCTCGCATTTCTCCTCCCGAAGCACTGGCCCAGAGAAGTGGAAGGTATTCGCGCGCGCTCGACATACCGCGCAGATTCCCTCTACCCGCAGTCGTTCATTGTATCGGAGAGTATTGATGAGCTCTTGTCTCTGGTGACACGGGACTTTATCGCATCTTGGTATCAGCATATAAGCCCGAATCCGGCTTTTGTTAATGAAGTGGATAGAGTCATTCGAGCGGCTATCGGAAATCTATGTAATCGATTGCTTGCAGAGGATCTAATCTCGCTGGTCGTGTCGCGTATCTTTCCGATCCTGACCGCTCATCTGAAGGAATTCGACGTTGCAGAGAAATCTGTGCGCGGACGGAATCTGACGCGAAATGTGACCGAATCTGAGGAGCTGGACCTCGCCATCGCTAAAAAGTATCGTGATGGTCGTCTTCATCCCGCCGCGGCGCTCTCTGTGTCCGAGCAGAAAGTAGTGGAGCAGGAGTATCTACGGAAGATCACATTGGGGTTACTACCAAAGCTGTTTCCTGAGCATGTCTTGAACAGCCGTATCGTAACCGTTCTGATCCGTGAGATATTAGCTTGCGCTGTTCTCTTTCCTCTAGTGTCGGTCCTATCGGACCCAGATACATGGAATCAATTGGTTGAAGCTTACGGAAGAACAACTATCCAAGATCGCAAAACAGTTCAGAAGATACGGGCGGCTCTTGACGAACATGCTTCGCCTGCCCCGAAGACCAAACGTGGTCACCCGTTTCCCAAACTCGCACCGAACGATTCAGAAAGGGCCTTTGAGCGGTTTGTCCGAGCCATTCGGCGTTGTAACAATTTATCCGATGCCAGGCGTTTCAGAGCGCTGGTCGCAAGTCAACTGAAACGGGAATCTATGGTGGAAGGTCAGGATCCGGTCTACCTCCGGCGCCTGGAAACTGGCAAAAGAGTTTTGGACCAAAAAGTTGCTAAGCTATCAGCCCCGGGGGGAAACAATACGCCGTATGCAAACGCTGTTGAATCTCATTTTCGTCGCAATAGCTCTTCGAGTAAACCCGAGGCGTCCTTGGTCGATGTGATGCATGATGCATCCGGTCTCTCCTACTTCATGGAGTTTATGGATCGGCAGAAGCTCATGTCACTTGTACAATTCTGGATCGTCGTTGACGGCTTCCGCAACCCGCTTGAAGATGATTTTGGTGATGAGACATCGCCGAGCTCCTCAACCTGGACCACAGCGGATCGGAATGATATGGCTCTCATTAGTGAAACCTACCTGGCCAAGCCTGAACTCAAAGTCAGTGAAGAAGCACGTCGAGCTGTCAAGGCTTTTCTAAATGCAGGCAAACGGGCTACACCAGAACAGTACCGTAAAGCACGGACGGTCATTCTAAGCACCCAGTCCGCGGTCCTGGAAGAGTTACAAGCTGTGTACTACCCCAAATTCAAACAATCCGACCTGTACTACAAATACCTCGCATCAGATGAAGTTTCCGTTGCCGGATCTCGTGCGTCGCCTGCGCCAGTCGAGTCGCCCGCCAGACGGCCTCTGCCTCCCTTAATGGCTCGTACCGCCTCGCACCCTGGGCAAAAGCCGAAGGATCTGCGGAGGGCTGTGGCGTCCTCTAGCGACGTCCGGAGTATGGGCAAACTCTTTGATGATGAGGAGGAGACGAGACGGTCCATTGATTCCGAGCGGTCAGCGCCATTGTTCGATGATGACTACGATACAGACCCTCTCGCAGCTTCTACACACAGTCTCGGCACCGACTCTCAAAGTGGCTTCAATGATGCTACCCAAAAGCAGGCAATCAAGTCAATGGAGGCTGCTTTGAATGACATCATCACGAATGACCCCGGAAATGCAAATTTAGGAGATGTGAAGTATATTGATTCTGGATCGGCCGGATCGTTTAGCGTTGATCGAGGTCTCAAATCTCCGCGCAGTACAGGAGACTTGGGACGACTGGACAATCGAACGGATGACAATAAAGCCAAACCAAACATCGCTTCGCTTGGGCTTGTTGACCAGTCATCTCGAATTGGCGTTTTCGATGATGAACTCTTTCCGGATCAGCAAAAGTTTCTGGAGGATGAATATGACGAACCTCCCGAGACAGATGACAAGGACCCTGCGGACGAAGTTCAAGAGGCCGCTCCAGGAGATCTCGGTCTGACCGAGGCAATCGAGGCGCTTACAGCTGACATTGAGAAGCTCGCTGCTCAAGAGGCCGTGATAGATGCTCTGACCCGGAAAGCCGACCTCACGAACAATACTGCCGAGTTAAGGATCTTGCGAAAGTCTAAGGCTAGCATTCAGCGTGAGATTCACCGCAAAGAGATGCAGCGACAACAATATATCATTCAGGAAAGTGACAATAGCTTATACGGCCGCTCGACCGTCCGAATCCAGTCCATTGTAGTGGGCAAAGAGGAAGACGGCCGAGAGTATGCGATGTGTATGTCTATTCTTCCAGTATCCTTCTTTGCCCTTTATTTGCTATGGTAACTAACTCGAAATCTTTCAGACGTGATTGAAGTGCAAAGAAACGCCGGCGAGCAGATGCCAGCTGCATCCTGGGCCGTTGCTCGCAGGTATAGTGAGTTTCATGAGCTGCATCAAAGGCTACGGATGAGCTACCCATCTGTTCGTCATTTGGAGTTTCCTCGACGTCGCATGGTAATGAAGCTTCAAAAAGAGTTTCTGCAGAAGCGTCGGTTGGCATTGGAGGCTTACCTACGGAACTTGTTGCTGCTTCCCGAGGTGTGCCGGAGCCGGGACTTGCGAGCTTTCCTGTCACAGCGAGCCATCATCCCTCGCGACGAGACGCCACGCGACGGGGAGACCAAGGATCTAGTGACCCGTATCTACAACTCGGTCGCTGACGGGATGGATGATTTCCTCGGCAATTTCGGTGTACTGGACCAACTATCAGCGGCCGGTCAGAATCTCATATCTGCGGCTACGAATCATCAAAACAGTCTTGTGTCCAATTCAGGGCTAGCTACCGAGGATGCAGTCACGGCAGCCGAAGCCGAAGCCGAATTAAACGCATTTGAAGATCGCGAGCTGGAGCCATTCATCAAGCCTATTTGTGATCTGTTCCTGGAAGCATTTGAGCTGAATAAAGGCAACAATTGGCTGCGTGGGCGCGCAGTCGTGGTTGTGCTCCATCAACTGCTGGGTGGGACGATCGAACGCAAGGTCCGTGAAGGCGCTCGGTCTTTGGTTCAGGACGAATCCCTTCTCCGCTATCTTAGCATGGCCAAGGAGACTATGTGGCCTGGAGGTGTCTTGCGCCAGAACAAGGTCCGCACGGCATCCGAGCGACTCAAGAGCCGGACGGAAGCTAGCCTGGTGCTGGCGACTTTGATCCCCGATGTGGCAGGCAACGTCGTCGGGCGAGCCAATGCTCAAGGAGCAGCTCGCAGGATCTTTGCTACGCTAAACAACCAGCGCTTGAACTCGCATTTGATATTTAGCATTCTAGACGAAGTGGTGTTGGTATTGTTTGGCGGCGCGAAATGATTTTTCTTTCTTCCACTCTATATCTCTCCCTTTCTCCCCTTTGCCCATGTATCGTACATATGAGACACTTCATGATGAGATCACTTTCTCCAACGACAGCAGACGAACAGAGCCATGACCCACGCATCGCATACTACTTTCTAATGAAATGATGAGAATTTTCTTGTGGATATTTTTAGTCAGTCACCAGCTGAGGAAATCAGACAAAACTCGCAACATGCGATATCGCTTCAGCCCTAGATAATTATCCTCCCTCCGAGTCATGACTAATGAGCTCTTCACCGCCAAGTTCCTTCTCAGTCTTGAGTGATCGAAAGACCCACAAAATGTCGTTCTCTTTTGGCAGAGCCTACAGGCAGATCAAGATTTGGTGTTTCTGAAGCACATTTCGAAGTGGAACTTCAGTACCCCGACGCTGCCCATCAAGGTTTTGAATGCTGATCCGAGATCTCCCAAGCTTCCAATTGATATCTAGTGTGAGCGACTCGGTTTAGAATGTCTTCATTAATGGTTAATAAATGAGTGAATAAGCTCCTGGTTTGATACATGATTCATGTTGCAGAGACATGATACGAAGTTTCACTTCCAGCGATCAGGTCGGACCGGCCACAGACGCATACACCCACATACACCGAGACACACCAGCATTCGCTAGGAAGCGGTGGGGTAGTGACATGCAAATGGTGAAGAAAAGAAAAGACGAGATTCGAGCACAGCAGATCCATAATATCGTGTTACAAAGCAGATTCAAACACCAGCCATCTTTGCTTCTACATCTTGAGCCCGCCCATGAAACTACATGCAGGGAAGCGAGACGTGAGACAGAGGTGCTTTGGCCCTTGGCGAATGGATAAAAGAAGCCATTGAAAGAAAAGAAGAGAGGGGAAGATAACCAGACCTGGCCATTATGATGGGTAGGATGCATAAGGTATCTATGCCTCGTCCTTCTTCTTCTTGGACTTCTTGCTGGGTGCTGCGGGTGGGCCGTTCTTGGTCTGATGGACGATGAGGCGTGTCCAGCACTCCTCCTTGTCCCACTCGAAGCCAGCAAGGTAGGGCTTATCCAGTTCATCATCGGCCTAAAGGGAACGGTCAGTAGTGAACTGGCATGAAGGGCGACGGAAAAGCGAGCAGAGAGGCGTGCCTTCTTCTTGAATTGCTTGTAGATTGCGTCCAGCGCATCTTTGACTGTGACCCCCTTGAGGTTACGAGCAGTGACAGACAGACCCAATGGCCATACCAGGTCAATCTTCTTGACCGGCGGGGTCACCAGGTACATCTTGAGAACGTCCTTGTCCTCGATGGTGTTTGGAGACGTGTTGAGCTTCCTGTACCGCATGCATGAGCTTGACTTGACCCGAAACTCCGTTACCGCGATGGTGGAGTCAGGCTTACCATCCAGTCTTTTGCGTCTCGATGGGCAATGACAACGCAATCTTTTGTGCCTCTACGCTCGAGAGTATAAGCTTACTGCAGACACTCATTGGTGCAAGCAAAGGGCAGCTAAATTGGATACTTCAAGTAACACATTGGAATAGAGACTTACCAAGATCCTTGATGTTCCAGACACCTTCTGATTGGGATGTAGTGCGCTTGTGAGTCTTCTTTTCTGCCTTATCTGGGGCCTTTTCGTCCTTGGGTGATATTGACAAGCCGGCGATGGCAGAGTCGACCTTGGTGAGTTCGGCAGACATGGTTGCAACTGATGGTGCTGGAGATTAGAGAAGCAAAGAGACGAATATATTGGAACAGAGAATGGTTCTAAGAGAGAGCCGACCCTCCTGGATTAGCTTCTCGCCCAGATGACAACGGTATATAGACTGCAAGGATATTGCAGTGACGATGAAAGGACGGTTGATGGAGGGGAAGAGAGGGATGGACAGCTGATAGGACGAGAAAGGGGAGAAATGCAGGAACGAAGAAAGCTTACCAGATTGTTGGTCAATTTGATGATGGTTACGGATGGAATCCAAAGAGAATCAATGGATGGAAAGGGAGAGAAGGGGAAGAAGAGGAAGAGAGAAGGGGAGGGGAGGAAAAGGATGGGTAGATGGGCGAGAGGGGGAAGAGGCAGGTGACCTTGAGTCCTTGAGGGGAGCTGAGTGGTTCTACCAAAGGAGGAATGAGGAGATCGAATCATGGATACCTTATGAGCGCTGCATCATAGGATGTGCTGGTAGATGGCTTGTACCTCCGCTGTATCTTTCACACGGAATGGCCTGTACGACTCTACCAGGAAGATACTTACCGGACTTCGGTACGTAGCTATCTTAGGTACATCTACATCCTCTGATCGTCAATAGTTTGTACAGTAGTAAGTATCCACATCCTCTAGTCGTTGAGCATTAATTGAGGGTGAAGATGAGGAAGAAGATGATGATGATGATGGTGGACCCACTGTTTGGAAACCAAACATACCATACGTGCATTTTGAGTTGAGTCAATGACCTTCTGAAGCCGGTGCGGGGTCGAAGCCTCTAGATCGAGGCTACTTGCCTACGGAGGGAGCTAGCTATCAAGGGGACAGGACAATCCTTCTGCTTCCAGAAAGGTATCGCATGATGAGTGACAAATGTTGGTTGGTCGATTGCATTCTGGCTATTACTGCGATATGATTTCATCATCTCCGTAAGGCACCAGACCAGTTTACTTTGAGATATACATTATAGACCTGGCTAAGGAGGAAAGGGGAAATTATGGAACAAGGATCATATGGACGTGAGAGCTACCTATGTATAGATGCATATGCATCTAGTGTCTTTAGTCCGTGTTGCGTACCTATCCATCCATCAGTCCATCATTAATTTTGATATTCCAATATCTAGATAAATGAACCACTTTCTTCTGGAGAAAGTCGTGGATTTCGATACCTCTCTACTCAATGATACATGGCCTGCAACTCCTCATTATTATGATCAGTATGATAGCTTCCCCGGGAGAACCGGATCACACGCGAGCCTGACGTTTCTAAGAGCTCTGGTGGGCGGGATCCACTAACTACTCATACGTTGACTGTTAACTCTAAGGCTGCACCCCGCATTCCCGCGCTCCACTTGGCGTATGAGTATGACCTTAGGTACCCAAAGTCCTCCGTTGTCCCACCTCCCTCCAGGTCCTCGATCGTCAGTAGTTATTATGCAGCGAGAAAAGTCATTGGATGAACATCGAGCTATGCTTTGTAGAAGAGCTGTATTTGCCAAATAATTGCAAGTAGCTAGCTAAGCAGATGTTGAGTCTTGACGACACCACTCAGAAATAGGCTTAGACTGAGGATCCCGAGGGAACGAATGATCAATTGCCAATCGAAGGCTCATCCGGGGACAGAATGACCTCACGTGCGGCAGCCGAAGCTCGAATCCACCACTCATCAGCCACGGCAATGTCTCCTTACCTCGTATGAGAGTTGCATGTTTCCATGGGTCGATAGTCCCATTCCGATTTGAACATCAATGGCTCCTGAGGGTCAGGTATTTGGGGTAGCCATAACCAAAAGTGGGCAAAGATAACCAGTACTCACGTGATGATCTACAGCCAGTTCTCCTGATCAGTCATCTTTGTTATTGTCTGATAATACCTCTCGTACCTCTAATGGAACTAATAAGCACATCATGTCAGCTAACACTTCTCCACTAACCCTTAGGAAAGCCACCTACGGAGTACTACGACCATCGTTAGTGACTTTACCATAGTGTTGAGGGTGGGTCTCGATTTTGAGTGTGGCCAAGGGTGGTGTGATACCTTCGATATGCAATGTACACGTCCGACTTTGGTAGAAGATGGAACCTTCTAAGACCTGATGTTTCAGATATTCTCTTACCTCCTCTCTAATAATGATATTGCGGTGGCAATGGAATTCACATTATAGACTTTTGCGAAATTTCTTTTCAAAACATATGCTTGCCTAAGGTACCTCAGGTACTGATCAACTTTCAAGGTACAGGAGCTCAGTAATAACTCAAGTGGCTATGCTCACAAGGGGCGGGGTTCGTAGTAGTCTCTTCCCATTATCAGACCACTCAAACTGCAGGAGACGAGGCCCAGTGCTGGGAATTATCGACGTCTTCTTACGGTCTGCTTTCTTTCTCTCGGGCTGAAAAGTCCAAAAGATCAATTTCCGACCATAATTTACAGCGATGTCCATCATCTGAATTTGATGTTTCTTCAAATCGGTGTTTGAGTGGGCCAACAGCAAAGGATGTACAACAATGCTCGCCTGAATCTACCTTCAAAGCACCAGCAGAGAATGCAGGGGCTCTCTCTCGCACCACATGCTTTTCAGCCGGAGCAATGCTTTGAGAAAGCCGTAACATACCACAGAAAAAGAAAGGAGGAGAGGGTCAACTGAAGCGCATTCGGCGATTACCTGCTTCAAACCGCAACTCTGCCGTCTCGTCGACTCCACAATGTGAAATTGCTTTCTTACACTATCTGAAACGACCTGTCATCGAGTCACCCTTTGAGACGACGGCACCCCTCTGCTGGATACAGTATGTCATTGCTCAGACCAGTCTGCCTTCTAGAGAGTTTCTAACTTCCAACTTCTAACGCTACTTGGGTCTCTCACTTAGTACCGAGTCTACCGACCGACCATCTAGTTGGAGGAGCCAAGAATGTGGGGAACTCTAGAGGGAGCTTGTGGCTCTTCCCCGCAAAATCGGCCGCCCGATGCCGCCATCATCGAACTATGTCTTCCGTTGGAGCTATAATCCACAGTTGATCCATCGAAAGCGAATTGTATCCATCCTTCCATTAGCCTGCGCTCCCCTTCCTATGACCGTGTGCGAGTCATTGCTTTTGCCAGACTTACTCAGACGGAAAGAGGAAACAGAGTGAGCATTTTTGCACTCGGGATATTACGCACAAGTCCCATTCATATGCTCCCCTTCGGCCCGGACAGCGCCCTCATCTGGGGAGCTCGACATCGCAGCGACGACCTATTCAGGCTCACACAATCTGGGAAGTTGGAAGAATAATCCGTAAAGGATAGTTGCGAAACGCAG